GAACTATATGAATTATAGCTAGAAGAAGAGATTTTCAACAAAATCTCTACTTTGTTAATTGAGCCATTCGACCCCTCGCATTATTCGATAGCGAAGAAACCTTTCGAGTAGATGAACTCATTACCTCATCTAGTTCAAACCCTAGTTCGAATTAGAACTCGATACTAACACAAAACATGTTGGAGTCCTTACCAAAAACCAGGACCTTATCCTAGACATTATCAAATGTATTGAGGATCCCTAACTACAAAAGGAGTATTTAGAAAGAATCTTAAAGTCTCTCGAGGACAAGCCTCAAGAAAAACCCAAACCCTCAATTGTACCTTCTATCAATACTAGTACCTATGACCTTACAACTATACTAGATAGGAAGAAGAAACCCAAAAAACATTTGACCACCATACGGGACCTTCGATCCGAAATCAAAACCATCAAGATTGAGCTTGAAGAGCTCAAAGAAAAACAAACCAAAGACTCAAGTCTTATAAAAATCCTCCTAGAAAGACAAACAAAAGAAGAGTCGGACTTTGCTTTTGAAAACCCCGAAGAAAACCACGAGTTACAAAACCTTGAGAATCTAGAACGTGCTTCGAAGATTTCCTTTTTGTGCTTAGAGAAGTTACTTCTATAAAATATTTGATTAAGATAACTCTTGTTTTTTAAAACAATTTCAAAATTAACACTATTGCCTTGTTTGACACTAGTGTTGATCCGAATTGCATTAAATAAGGAATTGTTCCAAAATGGTTTCACTTAGAAACCTATGAAAAATTTTCTACGACGAAATAATTCTAAAATGACCATTAAAAATAAAGCTGAAGCTTCGTGGTCAACGTAATTCATCGCTATAAAAACCATTTATTACTTGTTGAAGATATGCATCATATGGTGATTTTAGGAACACCTTTTATAAATCTTATTATTTCTTATAAGGTTTGTGATGATTGTATTTCTTTCAAAACCAAAATCACAAAACTTATTTTTCCTTTTCTTGAGAAACCTAGGACTCGGAATCTCAAAGTTGGTGACAATGGATCTCCATATTGAACGCCTCTCCCTAATAATAAAAAAAAAAAAACCATATGATTGGTCATTCCTCCGAAAACCCAAATTTCTATATAACCTTGATAAGAAATGGCCATTCTAGTCTATTATAAGCTTTCACCATATTTACCTTGAAAGCTACATTACCTCCATATGTTTTCCTGTCAATCTCTCGAAAGAGTTCATGAGCCAAAGCTACATTTTCATGAATTAGTCTCCCTTTTACAAACCCCGATTGCTCATCCGATATGATTTGAGGCAATACCTTACCCGACCTTTGATATAAAATTTTAGAGATGATTTTATAAGAGACATTACATAAACTGATGGCCTCAAATCACTGAAAGTAGTCGGATTTTTACACTTTGGTATTAGAACTATCATTGTTGAAGTTAATGATGTCAGAATGTCACCCCCTTAAAAACATCTTGCACTGCTCTGATAAGTTAAGGACTAATGATATCCCAATAAGATTGATAAAAAGAAGATGTGAAACCATTCAGGCCTAGAGCACTAGAGGGATCTATATCAAAAACAGCTTGCTTGATCTCTGTTTCCATCGGAATGACTACCGGCATAATATTCTGATCTGAAGTCACTAGATTGGGAACCACCACCAAAAGCACATCTAGATTCTCTATCGGATTAGTCTTTAGCAACTCTTGAAAGAAGTTCACTACACCATTGCCCAAAACAATATCATTAGTACATATTATATTATTTATTTTTAATGAAATGTTAACTCGTTGTTGATGATTTCGTAAGCTAGCATGGAAAACAGAGTGATTCCTATCCCCCCACTAGAAGCTAGTTTACTCTTGTTTTCTCTCGAAGGAAAATTTCTTCCAAAAGAACCATAGCTGATAAATGAGTTTTAGTCCCTAGAAGTTTTTGTATTTTTTTCTCCGTGTTATACATAATAACTTCAGCTTCCTTATGAGCAACCTCATCTTCTGCTTCAAACAGTCGCTTATGAATATTGTCATAAACCTCCCAATTCCATGATCGAAGGGCTTTCCTCAAAACCTTTAAATTTAGTTGGAAATTTGTGAAGAAATTTTGGGTATCATGTTGACCCCAATGCCATTTAACCATCTCCTAAAAATCATCATGGTCAGTCCACATCTGTTTGAAAAAAAATCTGAAAGTCGATTGCCTCTTCTCTTCAAAAGCTGTTTAACAGTGGGCAGTGATCTGAAAACACTCTAGGTGTGTGAGTACATTTTAGTAAAGGCATATTTGTTTGAAAGTGAACATTCGTCAAACATCTGTCCAATATTTCCTATATTCTTGTACCTCCTGCTTGATTATTACTCCATGTAAAAATATTACCAATGAAGCCAACATCCACTAAGCTACCTTGTAAGATGAACTGATTAAATTCCTCCATAGCATCTAAGTCTAGAGGACGTCCTCCTGCTTTCTCATGAGATGCAGTGATAATAATGAAGTCCCCACCCACCAACCAGGGGGAGGAGGTGTTAATAATCAGCAAATAAGACCATAATTCTTTACAAATAATTTTTGCACAACCAGCATAAATATAAGAAAATAAAAAATCTCCATGCAATCCATTGTTAGATACCGCTACCGTGAGTACCTGGCTACATGAACTGTGTAATGAGATATTCTCGTTTTTTCGTTAATATCCATATATGCATATTGACTGGATTGTTATGCAAACAATACTCAAATTTCAAAAATCTACTTAACTCAGTAATTTTATCTCCCTATAATTTCGGTTCAATAATAACAAGAAAGTTAACTATATGCATTCTGATCAGACCTTTAAGATACTTCCTTTTCTCGAGGGAGTTAATGCTCTAGCATTCCGTATGATACAACTCATTAAGAAATGGGAAGGGAGGTGTTACCATTTTGATACTTAACAGATCTAGTGCTGCGTCTAAGGGAGATAAAGCAAAAGTCACCTTTTAGCCTTCCTTTTTTGGTATGTTGGAGCCACGAAGTTATCATCTACAGCCTCCAGTGCATGAGATAAGAATGAAGACTCGACCTCCTTGCATTCCATATTTGTTCCATACACAATATTTTTCTGTGTTTCTGCCATATCCTAGACACCCATGCCTTCTTCCACTACACATATCCTTTCTTCCATACTTAACAAAGGGCCTGCATCGAAGGAGGAGATTCTTAGTATTGCAAATTTATTATTGACTGCATACAAAGTACATGGCATTTATTTTCCAGTATTCCTAAAACTTGATTCTGTCTCCTCATGAAATAATTCTACCATAGTATGTTGCATCTGACAATTCAAAACTTTTATACCTGTAGCTGCTATTCTCCCCCCCCCCCTCCTTCTCCATCTTCATTTACTGATGATGATAGGGCAACTAAGCCCATCAGTTTGGATTTTGCGTTGTATATTGCATGGGTCCTGGCTGTTCCATTCTCGTCTGATACTATCTCCTTGTGGTTCTCATTTTGGACTGTGATATCCACACCATAATATTTTTTTTTTGGTAGATCTTCTATTGCTATGTACTATGTCATGTGGAGAAATTTCTGAAGGCAAAGTGGTAACAACCTTCACAATACCCAAAGTTTGCCCTTTTTCCTTCTAGATCGTCTCTTTTCTTGCGTCTGGCCTATTTGAAGTTGCTGTAAGCGGGGCCTTAAAAGTTGTTGTGGGATGGACTTGCTACTTTATTTTCTGGGGTTATGCCATAGCTGTGGGGTTTTTTTTCCAACATTGCATCTGAATATGACCCCGTAGATGACAATAGGTGCAGTAGGATAGGTTTCCTTCATAGATGATGTTTTGCTAGAAGCCATTATTTCTATCAGTACCGACTGAAATCCAAACCTCTTTTGGAAGTTATGCTGCCAAGTCCAGTTCTACGCATACCCGTGCATGAATTGGGTGAGATACATTGGTTGTCCTCTCATCAGTTTTAAGAAACCTACCGAATGAATTCACTATTTCTTTAAGAATCCCTTTAGGAAAAAATGATAATGGTAGATACAGTAACCTCACCCAAACTGCTATAAGTGATGATTCTCTGTTAGCTATGAAACCCGATTCCCATCTGAATAGACAAAAAAGGGAGGACTGAATCTCATGTTGTTCAACTGGCCATGCCTTTGTAAAGTCTTCTTTCGAGAAGGTTCTAATAATAGCATGCCTATGACCCAATAAACCTACAATAGGATCCGTCTGTAGCCCCTAGTGCTGAATAATGTTGTCCCTGATAGTGTTTATGGGTGACCTGATTCTCGCAAACTTTGCCATAAGCTTGCTAGATTTCTGTAGAAGAGAAGTTAACTAACGGTTTTCCCTAGCTCCATTGATGTGTGCTAACGGAAGCAATATCAAGGTTCACCAAAACTCCATTGTTTTCCGGTTTTTTTGACTTAACAGCAGAGACTATGTTTGCAAAAGAATTTTTATGATGGGAATGGTTTTTTTTTATTCAGGTTTATTGGTAATGGAGGGGAGTCAGTATTTAAAGGGATAATGGTGGTGGGGAGAGAGGCTGGTCCCCCATTGGGGAAGCTTACTGTCGACGTAAGGATTGTCTGTAGGGTTTCCTAAATTTTTAGAGCTGCTAACTACAATGAATTTTGTAGTCCATCTAAGTTGCATTCAAAATGGGAGTCGTAGAGAACTTTTATCAAACACTTGGGAGGGTAGATTTGGGAGCTATATACCACACCATTTCCAACCTCCCTATCAAACATCCAACTACAATCACAGTTACCACCTCCTCTAAAATCAAAACAACCACCCAAAACATAGAACCAAATAGTCTCTACCATAATAGACTACCACATTTTAATAGACATTCTCACCCCAAAAAAATTCAACCCATAAACCTGAATCCATCTTCTTCTTAACCTATTTAGGGGAAGCCATTTTTCCTCTCCCAAAAACCTCACCTCTATAACTATCTCGCCGCCAATCAAACCACCATCTCCATCGATCTCCTCTCTCATACTACATTAGCACTCTCTTTTACACAAGCAGACACTCCATTATCTTCGCCAATCTCCTCCATCACTGCCCAACCAGGCCATTTTCTCTTGAATTCAATTACCATCACCCATTAGTGCGAGCCTTCACCTACAGCCATTGAACCTCTAGCCATTGGTCGATTACCACCATAAGCCCATCCCATGTCAAACCACCATCAATAGCCTCTACAAGATAGCCATTCCTGAATCACCATCAATAGTCATAACAACTCATGAGTCTCTCTTAAAACCTTCATAATAATCCACTTTTTTTCTAACAATCTACTACCCAAATACCTACTGCTTGCCCAGCTACCATTGTCAACTTTCATATACAAATGATCATAACGCCACCTCAAAACCACAACCCTTGAAGCAAAAACACAAGAGAGAAAGTCTTTGGTTGGATTAAGGAGGTAGATTTTTAGCAACTTTTTTTCTTCTTTCTCTTGATTTTGATTATTTCTATAATTCCATTCGTGTGTTTGGTTTGAGTTGAAAGAGAGATTTCTCTCAGATCTTTCTTTTGTAGAGAAATCAAAAGGTCAAGAGAAAGTAAGAAAGAATGAAGCTTTATGTGGCTAGGGGATTTGGAAAAGGTGTTACTACTAATGGTATTGGTCTTCTCCTCAAAGCTTGTGGTCTTTGTCTTAGATGATGGGAACAAGTTTGTTCTCAGGAAGGAAGAGGAGGTCGAGAAGAAATGACAGTTTCATCATTTATAACAACAGGGGCAATTTTGTTCTTTAACATTGAGAGGGGCATTTTTTTCTTTTACAGTAGTAAAAGCAACTTGGTCTTTTCAGTAGTAACTCAAGGGTTAAGTTTGGTCAATTTTCTAGTGACCATTTTGGCTTGCTTTTCTGATTATTTTTAAATTATTTTATTGTGTTGTTTTATGATAATATCTATTTTTATTTTTTTTTTGTGCTAGAAATTTTAAAAATGCTTAGTTTGTGAAATTTATTTTAATGTATGATTTCATTCGATAATGAGATCGGACTAACGAGTCTCCTATTTATTAGGAAGGAACGATAGTTTCAATATATTTTATCCAATAATAAAAATGATAAAAAATGTTAAAGGGTCAAGTCAAATCAATTTTATTCAGCGTTTTACATAAACATTTTAGTTAAATAGGTCATTTCTCGACCTACCAATCAAGTAAAAACTTTAATTTACATCCGATGCAAGATTGACGAGATTCCTAAATTTTGGGAGTCAACGGTAATTTAACATGATGTCGTAAAAAAAAATAGTTTTGATTGCATAGCTCAAAATAAAACATAAAAACAACAAAAAAGAAAAAAAAACATTTTAAGAAACTTTAACGGGTCTTCTATCCAATAGAAAAAAACATTATTAATTCAAATCAATCATCTTAGTAATTAAGGTCATTCTCTAATATACCAGTTATATCGAGATTTAAGTTAAATCCGATGTTAGATTATTAAGTCTCTCGACATTTGGATTCAACGATCGATTCAATATGATCTCACAAACAAAAATTATATATATATATATATATATATATATATATATATATATATATATATATATATATATATATAATTTGGCTTAGATAATAAACTTGAAATGTTGACTTGAGAAATAATGTGGAAAAAATAAAATATTTAGAAGATAAACTTTTAGGATTAAACCAAATGTGTTACCTTTTTTCAAAAAAATATGCTTTGAGATGGTTGCTATCTTTTTAAATACATAATTAACTCTTTATCCAAAAATATCTAAATTAGTATTAGTTTTAGCTATTCTAATTCCTTTAATACTGGATCACGACTCTAAAACATAATTTAACTCACATCCCTAATGAATAATTAAAGCATAATAAACAATTTCAATTCAAATGAATTTTTTGTGATTTTTTAGAAGTCTCCTAAATGTCTAGTAACAGCATTGCTAATAGTAATAATAATATTTCTTCTAGTTAAAGAGATGAGAAGGGCCTCTCACTAGTGAAGGGGCAATTTACGTATCCTTTCTTTTGTATCACCCTGAACATTTCTGTTAGAATTGTGTTTGAAGATATGGTTTGGGGTTCGGGAAAGATCATGTGATTATGGACTAGGCTTTTGGTTCTTTTTTGGACTTGATTAGCCTGGCAGGGATCTTGCTCTTCTTGCTTTTTTAGTAGGTCTTTAGGAACAAGAAAGTGTTTCTCTTGTTACTGTGGCTTTTTTTCAATCGAATATGGCTTTCTACCAACTTTTTCACCTGGTAGACATTCTTATTTAAGAATGCGTATATTTTCCTTCACAGACTGGCATTGCTGACTCCTTTTAGGGTTTATTGCTACTAACTGTTACAGGTCGTCCACCTTTAGCATCTCCTCATGGAATTGAGGTATGCTCGAGTATTCTCTCTCTTTTGCTAGCAGATTGAAAAGAGATCTGCATAACCTTTCTTAGAGAGAATACTCGTAGAAAAGTGAAAGACTAATTTGGAACTAAGATCCTCAAAAATCATTATAGATTTTAGGTCCAAATTGTTATACCGTTTTTCATGCAATACCTTAAGAAGTTAGTGATAAGTACTCTGTAGAAGGCATCTGTCCTTCGTAATTCCAGCTCAAAGGTCGTCCTCATGTTTATCATATGTTCCCTAGGATTAGTAAAATTGACATATGTGTCTAAGTTCATCGTTTTTTGGATGAACTCTTTAGAGAGCTTCGTGTTTAGAATGTGAATGAGGATATGGAAATCTTGGAACCTGTGTCTGTGGTGATCGACATGTGATAGCATTGAGGAGTCTAGTTTTCTATCGACATAGTGGCTCTTAGATTATGGGCTTATAGAAGAAGTTTTTAATGTGGGGGAGGTACTCTTATGGTGTTTTTCGTGACGGTCTCTACTAACACTATATTTGCTTTCGGTGTTATGATGGCACCTTGACTTTTCTTCTCTTTATCTTTCTCTGCATGAGCCATGGCTTACTGGCTCCTTTTCCAAGTCAACTAGTATGACTCCTCTGGGTTCTAGAGAAGGGGGATGTCCTGTTCTCCACTTATTATGTTGTTATGTTCTATTCTCACTTCTTCAATAGAATGTTGGTAGCGTCTGTTCGTGTGGGAAAAGGGCGGGGCTTCCTGTACATGTACTACGATACATGGTGGTATAAGAGTCTCTGGTGGTGGAGCATAAGGAGGTAATTGTAGCGTTTGTGGTTGTGAAGTCAATATCTTTATTTGGGTTTGGCTTACTAGAAATGCTTCTATGAGGTTCTGAACATACTGTTGTAGTTGAAAAATATCCATATGCTAAACACTGGGACTAGTAAAATTTACAAGGGTCACACAACTTAGAGTTTCCTCTTGCTTAGCCATAAATGAGCTTGAAGATCTTATGAAAAAATGAGAAACTGACTTCTTTTATATAGTTTAACAGACAATGTCAACTAACGAGTCTAAGAAAACTTAACCAATACATAAACATTGCGTGGCTCTCTATGGCTGAAGGTTGACAGTGTAGATTGATGGCGTGTTTCACTATCTTCTACATCATGCACATATAAAATAGGTCTCTCTCGTGAATTGAAGGACCCTTAGACAATCTATTTAGTGATCAGAGAAAATAAGAGATGGCCTGATTAGGCTTTTTTTCCTGATGTCTCTATCTGAGTATGTGAGAGAGGATGAACTGTATCTATTTTAGAGTATAGAAAGTTTTGTAGAAATTGAAACCTAGAACTCTTGCTGGTGAAGGTACTTATATAAGGGAGGTCTTGGTAAGTTGCATGGTGAAAAAGTTAGAAATGTTCATTCTCATGATATTGACAGTCTTAAATTTCTACGTGGGTGATTTGTATCTTTTATATACTTTATTTTCTTATGGCGCCATTATTACCATAGTGGGAGAAAATTGGACAAGAGCAAGGACAATTTCATTAAATGCTTTGTCTCCCTTGCTATTGTAATGGGTGGTGCCGTAGACTCTCTCATTTTGGATATGAAATAGGTATTCTTTCAACCTGTCTATTAGTTTTTTCGAAAAGTATCATAATAAATAATAAATTAAATATAAATAAAATAATATTATTTATTTATGTTAATGGATAATTTATTCATGAATATAAATATTTTTTTATTTTATAAATATCTATTTTTTATCTATTAAAATAAAAAACGAATTGATATTATTTTAGAAAACTACAAGTATAAATTGATCATTTTCATTTCAAATTTCTTGCCTCCTTTTGTTTTTTTATCTATTATATGGAGCTACGTAATGAGATAACTTTCTCCACTTTCTCGTTAAGAGACCCCCTGAGTGATAAAGATTTGGGATTTCCATTAAAAGTCAACTCGGTGCAAACCTAGGAAGGCAAGCGTGGGATGGGAATTTAGGGTGGAGGATTACCCCTGTTATTAAGAATGCAGTATAATTTATCCTTATTTCTTTTTCGTTTTATTTCTCTACATTGGTATAGGGATGGCAACGCGACAGGGCTAGGCAACGATGGTCATCCTATCTTCGCCCCGTACCTTGTTTAGGGTACAATTTCTTTATCATTTTCACCCTAAATAGAGTGAGGGTGTGGCGGGACGAAGCTCCGTCAGATTATCTTTTTTAAAAGTAAAAAGACGAGACAAGATGAGGATGGTCATTCCTGCTCGTGCTTCATTCGGGATGTATTTTAAGCATCATCTCTATTGCAAACTAGGTGGAGCGGGGTGGAGGACGTATCAGATTGTCATCCCTACATTGGCATCTAAAATAAGCTGTTCAAATAACACGTTTATTTTTAAAATAAATTATAAATTAATCCCTCTAGTTTTACAAAAATGAATTGAATAGTTTTTCTTTTAAAAACTAATTAATTAGTTTTTTAACCAGTGTTCAAAATGATTAATTTAATCTTATTTTATTTTTCATCAATCTTTTCATATATTTATTTTTATTATCTTTTTCTTATTTCATAAAAAAATTATATAGGAAAATCTTATTATATAAAAAGAGTCTAGACAAAAAAGAGTTTGTAAAAAAATCAATAAAAAAATAAAAATAAAAGTCTTTAATCTAAGAAAAAAAATTAACGAATAAACGGATATAAACGAGGTTATGGTTAAGATATGATACAATTAGTATGGGTTGAGTAAAAATAAATAAATAGGTCATTCTTAATAGATAATAAATATGATAATTGATATAATTTTTTTAACAGATAGGATATGAGATTGATTTAATAAGTCGAGTATCCGATCTATTGTGATCGCTAACTCAGTTAAGTAAATACGAATCCTATTTCCTCTACATGATGTGTCTAAGTGTTTAGTTGGATACGTCTTTTTTTTTTTCAGCCTTTGCGAGGGATGACATACGTCACCTAGATACATCAATACTAACGGATTTTCATTCAGAAATCTACCGGGTATAAGTTGCATGTATCTGGAGAATTAGTTGGTGGTACGACTAATATTAGGAATGCATTCAAATCACATTCTAGTGTTGTCTCACACATTGATTTTATTTTTTTATTTTTTTATTTTTATGTAAGAAGAAAGTGAATAATATGCAAGCATTCACATCAATATTTTACTAAGCGTTTGCGATTTATTTTAACATTGAGCGTATTATTGAATAGGATTTGACACGGACCTTTAACGTTTTCTAGTTTTAGGAAAACCCATTTGCATCCTGATTTAATGACGAAAATTTATTTCTCATCGCTTCTTTTTGGATACTGTAAGGTGATAATAATGGAAAGAAAAACATGTTTACTAGCATACTTCAAAAACACACACATAT